TGAGGCTCGCTGGAACTGTTTGCGGCGATTGGTTGATCTCTGTACTGAAGCTCGCCGGAGTTCATGGTGTTTAAACTTCTTGGTCTTGCCGGTTTTCATGTTGATGGAGTTCTTCACCGCTGCTGTGTCGCTCTTGGCCCAACCATTTACAGTATTGGAGGTTGTGATAGAATTGATGGCTATTTCTCTGAAGAAGTTCATCCCGCCGATATGTCATTGAGGAAGTTTAGGTATGTTGCTTCGATGAACGCTACAAGGTGGTGCCCTCACGCAGTCATCGCTGATGACAAGATCTATGTCTTTGGCGGTCTCGACGGCGGTGGAAAAGGTCCAGAGATGAGGTTTTCAACCCAATCAACGATATGTGGGAAAGTATAACTCCACCGTCACATCTAATTATGTCTATTAAATACAATGATGGATTCTTTGTAACTTATGATGATCTGCACTTCGGTCAACACCAAATGCCTCATTGCCTATGATACAAAACGTGGTTCTTAGCAGTCACTGGACTCTGCTATTGATTTTAGATTGAAGAAGATTGAACTGATAACGTTGTTAAATATATTTTATTTAATAATATTATCCTTTTGTGCTAAAGGATAATATTGTAATTTCAAAAATATAATTTTTTTTAATTTTTTTAAATAAAAGAAAATATAATAAGAGTAATATAGTCATTTCACATATATCCTTAAGTAGAAAAACAAAATAATTTAAATAAGAAGAAAAAAAAAATCATAATTTAAATAAGAAGAAAAAAAAAATTACATACCAAATACATTATTCTTAAGTACAAAAACAAGAATCTTAAGTAGGGGAGGAAAAAAATGGGAAGAAAAATGAGAAAAAAATAAAGTTTGAGTAAAGAAGGAAAATCTAACCTTTTTTTTTAAGGTAATCAAAATAATATTAAGAGCAAAAGAAAAAAGGAAAGTAAAATTTAAAAGATAATTTTAGAAATTAAAAATTTTAAGAGGGCATTATATATATATTTTTATAAATATAAAAATAAATTAAAATATTATTATATTTTATACTAGGCGGACCAGGCCAAGGGCTCCTGCCCCTGGTTCCATTTTCAGACAACTCACTTACATAGGTTAAATGAGAGACAGAGCATATGACACATCATATTATATTTAGGTTGGATTATGGTTAACTGTCCAACCACCATGAAAATAAAATAAATAAAAATTTAAAAATTTTATAGTCCAACTAAATGCCAAATTGGTGATATTGTAACACATGAAAAAAATAGATTTAAAATTTTTCAAAACAAATTTTCATTACTAAATATAATTTTAATTTTTATTCAAAACACTTCTATAATAAAATAGTCTAAAACACATCACATACTAGACGAGCCCTACCTCCTTTCCGGCTCTCTGCCAAATTCATGGGATGATCCTGAACTGATCTCAATCCCCTCCTTGGTAAGTAAATCCTAGTTTCAAAAATAAATTTGAAAAAAAAAGAGGTACAAAAAATATATATATATATTTGAAAGTGATTAAACGTAGCAACCTACTCCAGCTAAACGCCAAAACTATGATATGAAATTTGCAGCGAATGGGGCTGCAAATTAGTTACGTCATTAGCAAACCATTCGGACTCGCTTTGATAAAAGGTTGATTGTGACCGTTGGTGTACTAAATAAACCAAAACAAACAAATCATTACTTATTAGACTCAAAACGAGAGACCATTGATTGAAAGTCGAATATGCGGGTAGCTCTGTAGACACAAATTCATATATGCAGATTGTAACTTATATGAACGTTAGACTATGCCCATTGTGGAGTCCAATACATTCTCTTTTGAAAGAGGTAGCCAAAATGAATCGATTACGAGGAAGATCAATTGATTGAATCCGATCGGATTTATTATCAATTAAAGGTTATCAATTATATTCAGAATTCTTAGGCTAAAATAAATTATCAATTAAAATAAAATGTGTAATTAAAATTACCAATTATATTTGGAATAATAATATATAAAAATAATATAATAAGTTACTAATTAAAATAAATCCTATTATATTTAGAATAATAATATACAAAAATAATATAATAAGTTACTAATTAAAATCCTATTATACTCGGAACTCTTCAAGACTAAAATAAATTATCAATTAAATATAACATTATATGTAAAGATGTGTTTCAAAATTTAAATATAGATTAAAACTTAAAAAAACTTTAAAAATAAAATGATATACCAAATAATAAAATAAGTTATCAATTAAAATAAATCCTATTATACTCAGAATTCTTCAAGGCTGAAAGTAGAAAGTGTTTCAAAATTAAAATTAATAATTGTAATTACATATAGAAATGATAATACATGTATTATAGATTAGAAAATAGTGAATAAGGAAACACATTCAGAAAGAAGAAATTGGTTTTTTATTATATGTTTTATTTTTACGTCTACTATACCTGCCCATTTTCTCTTCGTCTTCTATTTTTTCAGAAACATCATGAAAATATTTCATTTTTTATCGCATGGTTAATGTTTGATTGGTGACAACAATGTTAGTTTGCTTGTGATTTATTGTTTTATTATTTCAAAAGTATCATGAAAATATCTTATTTATTTTTTATTCTATATTTTACCTCTACTGTATCGGCTCGTTTTCTCTTTGTGGAAGGTCAGATTTTTCTTTCAAAAGGCGGCAATCACGCTTCATCATCTAGTAAGTTCATAAGGATTATATTTTTCTTCTTTAGTTTTTATTTTTATTTTCTTAGAAGCATCATGAAAGTATTTTAATTTTTTTTTTTCTTATTTAATGTTTGATTGGTGACAACAATGGTTAGTTTTGTAAATTTAGTTTGCATTGTGATTTATTTTTTATTTTTTCAGAAGTATCATGAAAGTATTTTATATTTTTTCGTAACTTGAATTTTTTAATTTTTGATTTATCTTATTTTCATCCGTCTACGCTTCCTTTCAAGTAGCCTAACCCATTTAATTGGTCCAGACACTACATGCTCAATCCATGCTTAAAATAAAATAATTAAATATTTAACTAAATAAATGATCATTTAAAAATTAAATAATTAAACTAACTACAACCAATGACAAATAAGCATATCATCGTATCACACTATCAATTAAATAATAATTAAAACATTAACAATTAAAATAATGCACATAAACAAATAATCACATAATAAAATAAAATAAAATAAATATCATGAAAATTAGGGTGATTACAATACATAAGTATTTGATGTTTTTATCGAGTTGGTTGTTGGATGCTCTTTCTTTTAAGTGCAGGTTTATTGAGTTATGAATGATTTTGATCAAGCTATGTCTCACAGAAAAAATGGTCCGAGACACACAGACATCAACATTTATTCATTATGTAGGCACACAAATTTGGCCTCAACTTTAATTTTATGATACTCACGTGAGCACTGTTAATTGAGTTATGAATGATTTTGATCAAGCAATGTCTCACAATGTGTAAGGAGTACCGGGGAGGCACGGTGTAAAATAATAATAATAATAATAAAATGTAAATATAGATTGTTCAAATAAAAAATAAAAAATAAAAAATAATTATTGCAAAACAATATGCTAAACAAATGAGTAGTATAAGAAATATTAGTACTTGACCCATAAGAACTAAAATATTGTTTAGTAATTAATATTTTTATTGAATATAGTTGTTAGTCTTTGTATTTTGAAAGTGATGCATTATAATTACTCCCATTGGTTTCAAAAATTATAATAATAAATTTAAATAAGAAGAAGAGAAAAAATAAAAATTCATACTATATAAATCATTCTTAAGAAGAATTTTAAGTACGAAAAAACAGAACTTTGAAATGAAAAAAATTATACTTTGATTAAATAAGGGAAATTTAACCCTTTTTTTTTTTTTTTTTTTTTTTTTTTTTTTTTTTTTTTTTTTTTTAAGGAAATCAAAGAAATTTTAAGAGCAAATGAGAAAAGAAAGAAAATTTTAAGAGATAATTTTAAAAATTAAAAGTTTTAGGGGCATCATGATATAGAAAATTTCTTATAAATATAAAATAAAAATAAAAATAACCATATTTTACACTTGGCGGCACATGGCTCAGACCCTGAGAAGTACGTAGTACAATTTTGTATATTCTAGTTGATAAAAATGAAATAGCACGTGTTATCATTCTTGTCTGTCATTATTTGAATTTGTATATTCTAGCTAATAAAAATGAAATAGCACGTGTTATTATTCTTGTCTGTGATTACTTAGAATCACATCGCTACTGCATATTGTTTCTTGCAATTACTGTTGTACAAAAATGTTGATTTTTTTTTTTTTTCCATAGAAATTGTCAACAGAGGTTCGTTAATTATTCATAGTTGTATGCATGTCGTTTAAAAATCTTCCAAAAAACATTAGTGATCAACGGGCCACGGCCCTCTAATTGCACATGATGAACTAATAAATTTTAACCAATAGCATTAAAAATAGTTATGCCTCGTCATAATACTATAAATCTTTTATATAGTTTAGAGAAAATGGTCATGTTCATTGCCTCGTGTGAAGTCGAAGAAGATATTTGGAAGATCAATTCCCATATAAAAATCCAATTTTTTGTGTGACAGACTCCCCACGACAAATATGCGAAGGCATGGTGCATACGAAGAAACTGTAGATTGGTAAATCTGATGATGTATCTGAGTTGTCAAATGGATAGTATTTCCTAAAATGTGCAGGTCTAATCACCACTCCTCTCTAGTGTCGCCTTCTCCAATAGTGGAGGTTTAAATGTCTTATTTTTAGATCAGCACTTCTTTCTTGCAAAAATTGAAATCTATCAAAATTGCTAAAATTTTAGAACCATGGCAACATCACAGCAGTAAAGAAAAACAACCCATAGCTATATATCAAATCTCAATCTCAATCTCAAATCAATCAAAATTGCTAAAATTTTCAAATTTTAGAAAAACAAAAATTGAAACATCACAACAGTAAATAAAAACAACCCATAGCAATCTATATATCAAATCTCTATCTCAGATCAAAATTTTATATCAAATTTTAGTAAAGAAAAACAACCCATAACAATGTATATATCAGATCTCAATCACACCCTGTATATATATGGTACAGACCGTAGAGTAATGTATATATCAGAATGTATATATCAGGGGAGGGGGTGAGGGTACATCACCCTAACTACATCTACCATGGCGGAGGAGGGTACAGCACCCTAGCATGATAAGCACGCAGGTTCATTGGCCCACCAACCTGCAATAAACAAAGTTTAAAAAATAATAATAAAGGGACACTTGGCAAATGCACTTGGCATGCTCTTTAGAAGCATTGTGACCGCAAATGAAGTTAAAACGCTAGAAAACATCAAAAGAACACTTTCCAAAATTTGGACCTAGAATCATGCAACTAAGAAACGGGGGACTGATGTTGGTAAGAAACCTATTAGCATCTTTGTCCCCAGGAATGTTATGGGTTCATTGTGGGGGTGCTATAATGATCTTCAAAGTATCGATGATAACATATAAGATATACCATTTTATCTTATTGACGCCTGAAGATGTCCTGAAAGTTCAAAGATCCAGTCCATGGAGCTTTCAATAACGATCTATTATGTTTGATTCCATGGAAGAAAGGTCTGCAACTTCAAGAGATGGACTATAGTTCAGCAAAGTGCTGGATTCATATTACACATTTACTAAACGATTGTATCAGGAAGTCAGAAAGAAAATTGCAGCCAGCTTCGAAGAGGCTGAAATGATAGAGATCAGGGATGCTGGGGGACATGGGTACCAATACATTCAGATGCAAGTAAATATTCCTAGAACAAAACGTATTAGAAGATTTGCAAAACTTAACTATGGAGGTAAGATGCTGAGCTCCCACTTTGTTATGAACGTCTCCCGAATATATGCTTTCGTTGTGGCTGCTTTGGGCATTTTATGAAAAGGTGCTTGACAAATCCAAACGGTGAAGCAGAACTCCAGTTTGGTAAATGGCTGAAATTTGAAGGGCTGATAGGAAAAGCAATACTCAGCATCCTGATTCGGAGAAGTCTAAAATGGATGTGACTATTTCTGTTACGACTGGGCTTAAGTCTGACTGAGGTAAAGATATGAACTGCAAGGGGGAAGCTGGCTTGCTTCCAGATTTTTCTTGTTCTCCATTTGATTCTTATGGTAGGAAGATGGGGAGCTTGCCAGAGGTTCAGATTCAGAGGGACAAGGGTCCCGATGTATGCAAGGCTGCTGAGCAGACAGTGTTGAGCGTTCAGGCTGATGGTGAGATTGGTCGCTTTGAGAAGATGGCTGTTTGCGTTGGTAGCAATATTCACATCACTCTTAGTGATGAGTCTGCAGCTCTGTTGATACAAGAACTACAAAAACATAGACCTTTGTCTGATGAGTTGCCAAGCAAGGCTCAAGATACCCAGTATGATTGGTCGGAATGTTGGATGGTGGATGGGATAGCTCCATTGACTGGCTGTCTTGTGAAGAAACGGAGAAGGGGCTGGACAGAGGTGAGGGAAGTGAGCTGCGGCACCAGAGGGATGGGTCTCTTGACTTAATGGTGTGGGAGGGAATGGGTCACTCAAACTTAGGAGGAAGATGAATCCTTCTTTGTGGAGAGAGGAGAGGGAGGTGAGGAATCTCATCTCTTATGTCAAATATGAGGGGAAGGAAGGGTTGGTGAGGGAGAGGGGAGTGAGAGGCCAGAGGGAGGAGTAGGGGAGGAGGGCAATGACAGTGTTTCCTCATGAAGCTCCGAATTATTTCTTGGGGTCTCAATGATCCGGATAAGAGGAAGGTGGTGAAGTTGGCGTTGGATGCTTTAGGGTCTTCTGGGGGCAATCTTGTCATGTGGGATAGAATATGGACAGCTGGAAATGGGGGTTTTCTATTTCATGCGCTTTTGTAACCAAACAAGTCCATTGATACAATGCAATTTGATTCTAGTTAGGTGTATTTTTTTGAAAATTAATTCCGGCTTAATGGTAAAGTTTCTTCTTTACCCTTTCATCACCGAAGAATTTCTTAAGGTAGTAAAATTTACAATTTGTTTTTGTTTTTTTTTTTTTTTCCCAAAGATTAGCTGACGAAATTTAAACGCCAACATGCTTTTTGTAATAATCTCGAGATACCACAATATTTTTTTTTCCCCGACAAGGGTGGTGTTGGGCCTCTTTAGAACATTCATAATCCACTACTTTGTAAAAGAAGAGCTCTAGGATGCTATATGGGCCTTTCAATGACTTTTTAATACAAATCATAATAATATAGAAACATAGCTGTGTTGGGTAGCACTGATTTTTTGCTTTAAAATTAGAACTGAAATTGATAAAATAAAATAAAAAAAATCAATTTCAAGACATCAATTTCGTACTACCGAACATAACTATATCAATAAATTTTGTTGTAAATTTCACAAGATTTAGTGTGGAAATTCTACACACACACATATATACACTAGTAAAAAGAACATAAAACAAAAAACAAAAAACAAAAATTGAACACAAATTGCAAATAACCTTAACTTTCTTTAAATAAAAAAGTGAAACAGAAAATAAAAAATGAACATAAAATGACTTACTCTTTACCGACACCGCTCATTCCAATTAGCTTCTCCCTTTGCAAGAATCAAACCTATATTAAAAGCTCAAAATTTAATATATGTAAGAGAACTTCTGAAATATATGGAAACTTGAAATATAAATATTTTAAAGCATTTTAATTCACATCTTAACAAAAAGAAAATAATAAAAAAATAAAAAACCCAATTTGCATTTACAACTTATCCTAGAATCAAATGAGAACAATATAATAACAGAAAGTAAAAGAATTAGTTTGAAACTAAAAAAATGGCTAGTTGGCCAATTGATGTGAAAGCATACAAAACCTGAACAAAGTAATATATCAGCAAAGATTAAAAAGTTAAAAGGAAGAATAAGAGAAATTAGATACCTGATGATTGAGGAGACATAGCCAACCCTTGAAATCGCAACCCTAATAGAGACCACCAAAGTTCCTTTTCTTCTTTCTCTCTCACCTATATACATTATTAAAAAAAAATCAGCACTAGAATTTTGGGTTAAAAAAAAAATTACTTGAAAAAAAAAAAAAACCTCCCCACCCAGGTTAAATACCTAACCCTATACTTGTCAAAAAAAAAAAAAAAAAACCTCCACAGCCAAACAAGTGAAAGTTGCAAACAAGAATCTGCAACAAAAATGAAAGAACTGAAAGTCTGAAACCCTAGATTTGAAAAATACACACACAAAAAAAAAGGAGGAAAAAAAAAAATTGACCTTATCAACTGTAGATTGATTGGAGGAGAGAGGCTGTGAATGAGAGCTACTCTTTAGTCTGTACTAGGGAGTTCTTCTATCTAATGGGTGGTACCTATTTATATTTGTGCTGTAAGAGGACAGAAATTAAAGATGGTAGTTCAGTAGTTGAATCAATACATACAATGCAGCATTTACTTTGGTCATTATAACACCATAGTCCATGGTTGATGAATTTGAGCAAAGTTGCACAACTACTACTGTACCTATTGTGCATGCATTTACTCTTGTCATTGTAACTGTCTTTAACTCCACAATTATGCCAACAGTTGTATAGAAAAACCCACTAGTACTATTCCTCTCTCTCTTTGTGTATCTCTCTCTCTCTCTCTATATATATATATATATATATAAGTTTCATTTACATGGTAACATTATTTAACACAGTTTAAGTGAAATGACAACAAAAGATATATAGTTTATACTTACATAATTAATGATAATTAATTCATATATATATATATTTTATCCTTGCAAATTAAGGGAGGAGGGCTCAAACACTTGACACACCTGCTAAGAAGTTAGACGCCCTACCAATTAAATTACTAGATAATAATCATATCCATTTATAATCAACATCTTTCTATTCTATTCTTGGAATTTATGTGAATTGTGGGTCCAGTTTCTTCTTTAACCATGTCTAATATTAGGTCCAGAATGTCCATCTCTTTAGTACAAGTGTCATTTTTTTTTTCCTTATCAAACAATAAGGCTGTACTTAGGTTCAGATATCACAAGATCTATTTAAATTGATTAGCATATTTATCCACCAATAATATCATCATATTATTCATAATAAATAGTTTTATCATAAAGTATTATTTTAAAATATTTCAAATTAAAACCACACTAATTAATCATCAGGAAGAAGGAAAATTTTCAGAAATCAGGTCGTTTTGCCAAGCCCAGCATGAACGCCCACTTCCACTTAATACCAGAACAAGGACCTCACTACCTCAGAAAATAACCTCTATATATATACTCTCTCTACCATTGAAAAAAACATAGCATGATAGACCCCGAAATAACCTTGCCAAAACAAATCATAAAACAACCAAATATATGTACTAATATGGGTTGAGTTGCCTCTATAAAACAAAGTCCATTGTGCATAAATAATAGGGTTACGTGCGTTTTATATCCATGTGATATCGAGATAGTGCGTTTAACACTTTAACCCCACATTGTTTGTTTACCTCCCTTATATTTTAAAAATGGTGCGAATTAGTGCATTTTGGACGTTGACCGCTATTGATCGGTACCGGAGCTATAAAAAGACTAAAATAACCCTCTATTTATGATTTAAAAAAACTAATAATATAACATAAAATGAGAAAAGACTAAAATATCCCTCTCCATCTTTATTCTCATTCTTGACACTGATCTTACCCCCTCCCTCTCTGCAACTGCAAACTACAAAACCATACAAGAATCGGAAGTTCAAAACCTATTACCTATCAAAACCCATATCCACATATCATTTCAGATTGTTCAAAAAATAAAAATCCATATCTTTCAGTTTCCATTTCAGATTGTTCAAAAAAATCAAAACCCGTATCTTTCCGTTTCTATTTCAGATTGTTCAAAAAAAATCAAAACCCGTATCTTTCCGTTTCTATTTCAGATTGTTCAAAAAAATCAAAACCCGTATCTTTCAGTTTCCATTTCAGATTGTTCCAAAAATCAAAACCCGTATCTTTCAGTTTCCATTTCAGATTGTTCAAAAATCAAAACCCATATCTTTCAGTTTCCATCGCCTGTTGTTCCAGTTCAGGTTCGCCGTTCGGGATCAGAATAGGGATCGCGACGTTCCTTGCCTATTTTTGACCTGAGAGCTTTTGTTTCTGACGTGATTGGATCAGAGCATATGTTTGGTTAATGGAACCCCCTCGACACAAGCAGCTACGGGGGCAAATTCTCTGCGCACACCCTGCTCTTTGTCCTTTGACAACCGTCATTCTTTCTCAACTCTCAAGCTCCCCCCCCCCTCTGTCTCTGCAACTGCTTGTATGTATGGGTTTTGTTTTAATTTTTTTTTCTAAATCAACTAATCAAGGTGGTGGCTTAATTTGTTACCTTCTCTGTCCCTCTCTCTCTCTGTAACTGCAAACTACAAAATTTACAACAATCAAAAGTTCAAAACCCATATATATATATATATAAACAAATATATATATATATATATATATATATATATATGGTGAGGGGGTAGTAAAGGAATATTAAAAGAACAATTTCGGAATAAAGGGTTTAAAATGGTCATGTGCATGGCACATAACCAACTGGCGTCCAATTCTCACCAGAATAGTCACTGGTGTGGCTTAATTGCACATTTTTATATTTGGTAGGGATTTATATAAATAAATCTAACTAAAAGGGTGTAAGTAGCACAAATTTAAAATCACACAGGGTGTTTTTTAGACTTTCCCCTAAATAATATTTAAAACAAGCAATGGTAATTGATCAGACCAACTCAAACGAATTTATTGGTAATCTCTGTAGATGAAAATATGGTATCAAAATTTTGATGTGCATTTGGGCTTCGGCAATGAAATAAAGCAACGAGCAAAAGGGAACACCACTAGATTGTCATCTTCTTCTTCTGTCAGTTTGAAGTTTAGCATATTGGTATGCTCCTCCTCAATCCTCTGAAGCTTGTAATTGTAGAAATATATACAGAATTGAGTATTCACTTTTCTATAACTCAAAACAATAACATCTAAATCAGGATAAAAGGCATGAATATAACACCACAAGGATGGATGTGTAGACTGGTAATAATTTTCCATCTCAGGCCACATGAATGTGTAACGACCCTAGTTGATACCAAAATTTAAAAAAAATTCGGCATAACCTCCCCTAAAAATGGGCCTTCAACAACATGTCCCAATACACAAAACACATAAAATCATCCAGCATCCCATTCATCCGTTCATTATACCTCAACATAGTTCCTCTCATGGTGGAACATCCACACACCAATTAATCTAAATTATCATAATTACAGTTCCAAAATACATGATTAATATTTAAAGTCCTTGTCTTACAACGTTACATGATACAATTGCATGGAAACATATACCATAATTCTACTAGTTTCATTTACATCAAACAAAAGATAAGTTCGTTCTTAAGTTATAAGGCCATGAATACTAACTTAGTTACATTTCCACAACTACGAATATACATAGAACGGTCAAAATACAAAATAGCAAACAACCTTCTAACAATTTTCAAGCTTGACGTGGATTGTCGTCCACTAGTTCATTTCCAAGACCTGAAAAAAATAATATAAATAGTATGGTGAGCATAAAGCTCAGCAGGTGACACTAAAGACACACATCTTGTGTCCTTGTGAATCCAAACAAAGTATAGGCCAATGGGAAATGGGGATCATACAATGTCGGGAAATAATACAGCATAACGATTCAATGTCAAGTATATCCAATGCAATGGTATGAGATGCAATGCATGCTGGTGTCGCTCCCCATTTTCATAATCCAAAACATCATTTCCAAACTGTTAATACAGCCCGCCCTTTGGTAGCCCCGCCGCGACACGAGAGGAGGATTGGCTAGTGTCCCTGACCCTTGGTAACCCCGCGGCATCATTATGGAGCCCAGCTAGCTCAACCACGCTAGGACGACTCCCTAGTCCCCTCTAGGCTATATTAACCTCCGGCCCGTTGGTAACCCCGCAGCGACCGGGTTTCGCATAAAACCATTTCATCAAAAACACTTCCCTGAAATTCCCCATATTTATTTCAAGAACAATTTCTCCCATTTCATGCAAACCCAATGGTATGTGCATGTATATATGTTCCATACATTCAATGTCATGGCATTTAAAAGTCTACACCATAAAATTAAATATTCAACATGTTCAACATCTCCCAAGTAATTATTAACACATTAAGATATAACAAAATACATTTAAGCATGCTTTACACATAAAACAACTCACATTCAAATACATGAATTTCTCTAGACAACATTTAAAATAATCATTGATATAATTAACTTCTAATTAAGCATGCTTGGCACAACAAATGATTATAACTCACAATGGAACAAGAAGGTAGTGGATTAAGGTGTCCCTACCTCAAAATGAGCAAAATCCCTAGAAATGGGTTCTTAAATTCGAGCTCCCAAAGAGGACCAAAAGCTGGAATTTTTGGTACTAGCACGTAGAGCTCGTCGTTTTGCCTCAAACGGCACCTAAATCCGCCAAGAATTGAGAGAGAAATCAAGGATTGAAGTTGAAAAAGAAAAAAAGAAAAAAGAAAAAGATAGAAGCAGCGAGAGAGAGAGACTTAAGCTGTCAAATTGGAAACTAAATGGGTCTGTAATGACCCTTATATCTCAGGTGGGCCCCACAGTTGAAAAAGTCATTATACTAATTATATATATAGATAAAGTCAAAAACTTTACATTCTCCCCAACTTTAAAAAGATTTCGTCCCCGAAATCAAGACATGCCTGGAGAAGAAAACAACTCTGGATACTTGGAGCGAACCTCCTGTTCGAGCTCCCAAGTAGCCTCCTCGACTCCGTTGTGTCTCCAAAAGATTTTTACTATGGGTATCGTCTTGTTCCTCAACACCTTCTGTTGTGTGTCAAGGATCTGAATTGGTCCTTCCTCGTAGGAAACATCCTCATCAATGTCTACATCAACCCAACTCAAAATGTGAGATGGATCTGGCTCGTACTTCCATAACATCGATACATAGAAAACATTGTGGACCCTATCTAACTGTGGTGGTAAAGCAAGTCTGTAGGCAACCTTTCCTACACGGTCCAAAATCTCAAATGGTCCAATGAATCGTGGCGACAACTTGCCACTTTTCCCAAATCGCATCAATCCCTTCCGTGGAGAAACCTGAAGAAAAACGTGGTCTCCCACCTCAAAGGATAACGACCGTCTCCGCTTATCCGTATAACTCTTCAGTCGGCTCTGAGCTGTAAGTAACCTCTGTCTTATCAACTTAATCTTCTCAGTAGTCTCGAGTACAATGTCAGGTCCTAAGGCGGCTGTCTCGCCTACCTCAGTCCA